CTCTCTCTCTCTCTCTCTCTCTCTCTCTCTCTCTCTCTCTCTCTCCTAAAAAAAAAACATATACATCAGATTCTATGTATGTATTATACACAATAAATTAAATGTATATACGTACGTAGACAAGTGCGGCAGTACAAGTTGTACAACACAACAAGCGACGGGCGCCTCGCCTGCGGATGCACGGACAAGACGACCGATGCAGGAGCAGAGGCAACATCAGGACCTGTCCCTGATGGCTTTGGCGATTTCCAGCAATGCAGTGCACATCAACCTGTTAGCCTCTTCGGATGCCTCGTAGTGCTGCCTCTAAGCATCAACCTCACGCTCGAGAATGTCGTACTGCCGCTCCAAAATGGAACATTGTCGCTTGCTGGCCCCCTCGACAGTGTCAGCCATCAATGCGCCGTGCTTGTCCATGACTTCAGCAATGGCCTCGAATGTCTGTTGGCGCATGTTCTTCCTCTTGCAGTTCCCTCCCGTGCTGCCTGCACTAAAGCCGAACTCCCGCCCCGACCCTCCGTCATTGTCGTTCCCATCACCCCCATCACCCCCGGCGGCGGATTCTCCAGCAACGGATGGGGAACGTGGCATATGCAGTTCTCCACGGGCACTTGTGTTGGCGACGTTGTCCGGGTAGATGGTCTTATTGCCCTTCGACATGGCGTCTCTCTCATTGTACACGTGCTCCTCCATTCTGAAGTTGAAGCCCTCTTTCGTTCTCAATGCAGGTGTGAGGTTGAAGAAGTTCTTCCCCCCAGAGGCGTTCTGATACCGTTGCACTTTCTTGTACTATTGAAGAGGTTGTCCCACTTCTTCCCGATGTTGTCAGTCGTCTTGTCCACCCCCACCTCCAGCAAGCGCTTTTGAAGGTCCTGCAACTTTCATTCCTGTTGCGCATTCGTCCGTAGTTGTGCGGCATGCCCTCGAAATGAGCTTGTTGATCCCTCTTTGCCCGGGCGAGCTTCAACATCTCCTCAACACTCCACGACGAATGTTTCTCAGCCTTCTCGCCTGGCGGACCCTTCAAGCGGCGACCACCACGGGAAACAGCCTTCTCTTGACGCACGCCTCCACCCCTTCCTTTGCCAAGCAAAGGCAGGGGTCAAATCTCCATGTCGTCTGCGTCTTCGGCTTCGTCTTCGCAAATCACATTTGTAGATTCGTAATCGCTCGCCCGCTGGGAGTCTTTTGCATTCGGTTCTCCACTCGCCACACGCATCCTGGACACCCCATTCGTTATGTTCTCCGCGGCCATTTGACACATCTGCCGCCGACATGACCCCCACGCCTGCCTGCCAACTTCGTCTGATCCGGCTACGCTTGTGTTCGCCGCCGGTGCGTCCATCCTTTGGCGCGGTGCACTCAAAGACGATGCCGAAGAGGGGGGCAACGAAGTGCAAAGCATGTCACCGGATGATCCTGCACCCCGAGAAAATGGAGGCGACGGACGACACCCATCAGGGCTTGCACCTTGCGGTCACACCAGGCACTGGGTTGAGCGTGTGAGTCGGTGTAGACAGTGTACTGCTGGACCACTCCCGCTCGACAAACCAAAATCCAAGTCCGCAATCTCTGTATCACCTCCACCGACATCGTCCTCTAGCAGAGCAGAGAACAAATGATGACTTGTCACAGCCTCCCGTTGTCCACAATGACTCCCCATCCATTCTTGCGTCGATCCGCTCCCCAAAGGCAAAGTGAGGGACAGATCATCCACCCATTGCTCTTCGGGATCCGGCAGTAACAGCTGCTCATGAGGCGGGAGATGACTGTACAATGTCGGGTCATACGCGTCTGCAAGACGCACCCCAGCCGTCGCTCCCGAAGCAGAGTACTCGACGGCGTGCGCCGGTTGTCTGTTGAATGCTTCATGCCTGTCCATCATCATCTTCCTCAAAGTTCGTCGTTTTCGTCCGCCGCAAGGACCCCGCACAACGACTCCGAGTCACACGTGGAACAACACGACAATGAGAAGGAGAAGAGTGGCCAGCAGCAGCAGCGGGAACCGTCGGAGGACGTGCCCCATGAATTGCAGCGTGTGACGCGTATACCAAATGAAGATTGCATCCCCGCGGGCGACAATAGCCGACAAAACAAGCTACGTGGATGACTGCAATCGGTTGGCGGTGCTTCAACGCCGCTTGTAAAAAATTCGAAAAAATCGACCATTGGACGTGGAGGCCGTCGACGTGCGCACGCAAAACCCCGCTCCACGGAGCACCTCGCAGCTGAAGATCTGCCCCCATGCATTTTCGCACCAACGGTAACGGTCTAAAGGCTGTTCGCGGCCCGTCGGGCTATGTGACACCCGCGGCCTAGGCCGCAGGCATTTCGGCCGCTGCAGCCGAGATTCTCGGCCGCGGCCGTGGCCGACGAGGCCCAGTCCGCGGCCTGGTTTTTCAATATTTCCCCCCCCCCCC